CAGCCGCGGGCCATGCGCGGGAGGGAGGGCGGGCGGCGCCTCCCGCCCCGCCCACGTGCGCCGAGGGGCGGCGGGCTGCGCTCGCACGTGCGGGCTGCGCGGCGCGCACGTGGCAGCGCGTTCCGCCGGCCCTGCGGCCGAGGAGGCGGCGGGAGGGGCCGCTGCAGCCCCGCCGCGCGCCAGGAGCTGCGCGATCCCCGCGGAGCCCCGGTGGGGTCGAGGGGACTGCGCCCAGTTAGGCGCCCGCTCGCTCGGGCCACCGAGCATCCGCGCTCGAGGTGGCCTGGGCCCCCGGCCTGGCCCTGCCACCAGGGTCGACCCCCGGGAGCAACCGGGGTGGGCCGCCCGGGCGCGCTCTTCTGGGTAGCCTGGGGTCCCGGCTCCCCCGCCACCGTGGACGCAGCCCCTGAGCCTGGTGCCGGCGGTGGGAAGCCCGGCCCGGCCCGGCCCGGCCCACGAAGGGCGCCTTGGGCGACACGGTCGCGAGGGGGGTCCTCGGAGGGCTGTGGCCCTGGCGCCATTGTCTCCTGCTCCTGCCCCTGCTCGGCTTGCGGTTGCTCCGCTTGCTGGACAGGCAGCGAGCGGGGAGAGGTGGTCTGCTGCCACCCGCACCTCCGCTTGCCTGGGCCGGAGCCGGAGGTGGGACGACGAGGAGGAAGAGCCCCAGAGGTCCTTCCGGGGGGGCCCTGCTGGGGTGCACACCCCCAGAGGGGGTCCAGCCATGCCCACTGGCCGGACAGGCCCCTCCTGGGCGTGCGGCACCCGTACCTCAGCGCTTGCTGGTCGGAAGAGGCCTTGGCTGCCCCCAGCAGAGCTCCAGGCCTGTCTCTCCTCTCTGCACTCCCCAAGGCCCCCTGCCCCCAGGTGCACGGTGGGCACCAGGAACACGCGAGGGCAGGAGCTGCCCTTCCTCTCGGCCTTGCCCCAAGGCCACTGTGCAGGCCCTGCCGGAGCGGCTGCAGTGAGTGAAGGTGCATCGCAGAGGCCCAGAGCCATCCAGCCATGTTGGCAGCAGCAACAGGCTGCGCTGGGGCCGTGGGACCCTGGCACTTGCCCAGGCATGCTGCTGCTGGGGCAGAATAAGTCTCGGTGTGCTATTCCCTGGTAAGTGCACCTACTCGTGCAGATCTGATCTCACCGCTGACCAGCAAGCATCAGCATTGAAAAAGGAGCACCGGAACAGATGTTTAAACTGGAAGAACAGTCTCCCAGATGGCCCTTCCCTGGGCAACCATCCTGGCCGAGGACGGCTGGGAGTGACGGAACATTTTTCCCGCTAAACACGGGCAGGATTATGCCTTAAGTTAGTAATTGGCAAATGTTGCCGTATGTATTTTGAGCTGCAAGTAAAGGTAATAAATTAAAGGTCAAAAGTGACCAGGTGTGTGGATTCGCTTACATGCACCACAGCCTTGGCACCCTTCCTGCCCACAGAAAGGAACTTCTGTTGAAAGTCGACCTTGCAGGGCAGTAATGGACCCCCCCCCCCCCCCCTCTTTCCGCCCCCCTCTGTTTGCCACATCAGGTTAAAGGTTGCACCTGCTCTGTATTTTCTGCTGCCTACAGTTTCCTTTCAAAGTGCAAAACCAGGCCATGCTGCATGTCTCTCTGGCGGCACACATTAAAAGATCCCAACCTTCCAAGGCAGTCTGGGAAGAAGCACCTCCATTGAGGTATGCCGTTCCCCAGGATTTCCTGGCTCGCGTTCAGCAGTCAGGAAAACTGCGGGGCTGAAGGCTTCTTGCAGCCACTGGACACTCACAGGGGAGAAACGTGTTGAGCAAAGATCTTGAAACGTGGCATCCACAATCTACCTGGTGGTGCCTACAATTTTGTAACTCAAACCAATTTATTAAAAATGGCCACAGGTGCAGCGAGTTAGTGCTGAAGATTATACTTTTCTGCAAATTTCGGGGGAAGCCATTCTTATTTTATGTTGCATTTATGATCCCTCCGTTTCCCCTCTTGGGAGGAGCCCAGAGTGGTTTACGTCGCTGTGTGTTACCACAACAACAACCCTGTGAGGTAGTTTTGAGCTGAGAGTGAATGATGGCTCCAGAGGCAGTCTGAACTTTTTTGACTTAGTGGGGGCTATAGCCCAGAACTTGGCTCAAAAGTTGCCAAAGCGTTTTTGCTCTTCTGAAAGCTTTGGACACAGCAATTGGCAAAGTTCCTTCTCTGAACGCTGCAATGCCCCAGGTATTGCTATTAGCGTTTTGTTACAGAGCAGGTGTGCCTATTTCTCCCATTATGGCAGGCAGCCTCACAAGGGGAAACTACAGATATCGGAACAAAGCGTGGGGGGTGGATCAACTGTAACACCCCCTTCACGTGTCCTGATCTGGATTGGGTCTCCCTTGGCTGAAACATAGCTTGCAAAGTGGCATTCCGTTGCCAAGTTAAGCGATCTACCAGCCACTAATGCCCTGATCCCCGTGAGGTTGCATGGGCTTACTTCAGAGTAAAAGAAAACCCTAGCTACCTCTTTAAGTAACATCCAGCATGGCTTGGGGGGGGGGGGGAGCTCAGGTGCAGGGAACCCAAGCATCCAGGGCTTTACAGCAGTTTTCCTTGCCTCTGCTGCCACCTAGTGGCCTGATGCTTGCCCTTCTGGTAGGAGCAGGACAGGTACGCTAGAGGCACCTGTGCTTTACACTGCCACTGATTTTGGGCAGGTACTGTGTCCTACGGGCTGCTCTGCCACCAGAAATAAGTTCCACGAATCACAGGGGAATTTACACCAATGCACAGAGCTATGCTAGAAGGTTCCTTGCGATGAATTGCGCAGAATCTCATCCCTGGGAGTGACACTGCAGAACCACTTCCATGCCAGCAAATCTTAGCGTAGGAAACAGTAGCAGATACTAGATGCACTGGGCTTCTTACACTATCAGAACCGGGCGCTACAAGTGGGAAACAAGATGGCATCTCTGGCAAGGGCTGGCCAGTGCCCAGCACTGCTGGAGACCCCTTCTAGAGCAACGTTTCCTGGAGGAAATCTTTTCTTCTGAAGCAGCTGCCACTCGGCCACCGAAGCCATTCAGGAAGCGGAGTCAGGAGGACTCTGCCCATCCTCTTTTGTTGAAAGCCTGCAGGAGTGGTGTCCTCTGTCTTTCTGTGCGGCATGCGGAACTCTGTGGTCTTGTGAATGGGCCCTTTTTGAGATCTCTGGCATAATGTCTGATATAAAGCACATGTCTGACACAGAAGACTGATTGGCAACCCAACTTTAAATAAATGAGAGAGAGAGAGAGAGAGAGAGAGAGAGCGCGCGCGCGCGCGCGCAGCTTAACCCTTTCCATGCCTACTACATTATCTCCTCCCCATTTTCCATTGTACCATGGATCTGGATTCCCCTTCGGGCATCTTCAGCGAACGCATCAGGCAAGTGAAGGCTGCCTATACCAACTTCCCAGTAATTTACTAAGAAGCAACTCCCATTAGTTGCCTCACAGGAAAAAAAAGGGCAACCCTCCACAAGCCTTAGTGGGCTTGGAACATGTGACCCGAGCCGGCTGGTGATCCGAAAGCATCCTTAAGCACGGCTTGGTCACTGTCCAGCAGAAGCAGCTGGTCAGCCAGGTCTCTGGGAAAGGCGGCTGGAGCCACTCCTCCCAGGGGGAAGGTGCGTAGCTGCTCCCACAGGTGCGGCCAAAGCAGGTGGCAGCCCTCTGACCCTTCTCGCCCATAATGCAGGCACTGGGGCGCTTCTCACTCCTTCAACATTGTTAAGAGACTGGCAGATCAACATGACCCTCTTGTTAAAGCTCGAGGGTGATCGTCCTACAGGGCAAATCTCGGCTACCGAACAAGCTAAACGTGGTGTTTTCCAAGTTATACAACGTAACTCTGCCAGCCCAAACAAAGCCAACCCTTTTGTTTGGCCATCTAAAAGCGATTCATATAGATGGGGGCTCAACTATTGTTACTTCCCAGTCACCCTTGGAAGTCTCAGGTAAAAGCTGACACCCAAGCCTTCCCCCTGCTTTCCATCTTAAAACCGCAATGCAGTGCAGATTCCATGGCTACTATTTCTGCCCTCCATCAGGTTTACCATGCTTAACTTCTTGTCTGATGAAGAATTCTAGAGAATGCCAACTTCTTGATCATCTCACCAAACATACTGCCCTAATATGTATAGTATTATCCTAATTTTCTAAATATTACCACTAAATTACTAATTAAACCAGTTTTCTAACATTTGGAAAGCAGCTGTTCAAACAGATCATTTTACCTTGCTGTTGTCGTTTCCTGCTGCACACAGAGCAGGAGAGACACGTACGAATACAGCCCATGAGGAGTGAAGGAGGCCTCAGGAAATGAGTGAACTCATTGCTGCTTTTGATGTTAACAAGAAGCATTTAGACAGTATCATTTTTGCCTTGGGCATTTGACGAGCTTTTGTGCTCATCCAGTTCCCTTAGCAAACCTGGATTCCGTGTCCACCATGTAATTTTAAAAACAGAAGTATCCCTACTCTGCTCCAAAATTGTATGTAACAGAAATAGCTTGTTATAAGAGAATCGGTGTAAAAGAATTCATTCAAATGTTCCTTTTCTTCAAGTTGTTGCTTAAACTCAAGTTACGTTGTACAATGGAGGCAGCATTTGTCCAAAGTCCTTCTGCACCCAACACATTTTTATTTAAATTGGCTTTCTGGTTTGAGCCATGCCTAAGATTCATTTGTAGCTACAAATACACGCATTCACACACCCACAGTGAAATTAAGCAAACAGCATTCATTTTAGATGTGTGTGTTTCCTTTTATAGTCCACTTCCTTCAAAGCCAAACACTCCATCCAAGAACGAAGCGAATCTTTTTGGCTGCCCAGGAGGAAAGGGCTTCAGAACTGATAAATCCATCGACTTAAGAGTTTGCACAAGGGTCCTACAGAAACAGAGCAACAAAACACAAAGAAATCTTAGCATGGGAGATACATTATATTTGGATCTTGCCTTTCCTCCACAGATGCCAGGTAGGGGCAAATGTCATCCCAAATATGAAATTTGGCATCACGGGAATCTGGGACGGCAACAGGCTCATGGGCCAGGGAAGCAGATGACTGCTGCTGAAAATACATCTCTCAGTGTTCCTCTGGTGTTTCCCAGATACTGCGAGGTGGCCAGGGGGAAGGGGAGAAGACAGGCCTCATGACCCGGGCTGTGCCCCATGCTAATTGGGTGCCCCAACAGCTTCAAGCTACATATGATTCAATCCCACCCATGAAAAACACATGAGGACATGTCCCTTTGGAGGAAACCAAGGATGGTTTGTGGAAAGGTGTCAACTGAGAGCCAGACCTGCTGGTGCAATAAAAGAGATGCCCGTCCCTATGGAGCTGCCTTGCCAATTCTAGCTGGTGATTGTCCATGAGCTTGTCATTCACAACAACCAGGAGTGGCTTCTTGGCTTCCAGGACTTCCAAGCAGCTACCGGCACCTGGGAAGGTAGAAGGGAGTAAAGAGTTTCACTGGACTGCTGTGGGCACAATCCTGTTGCAGTGAACAGACGCCCTCGATCTCAGAGGCGCAAGAGGCTCATTTGCAGAGTGGGAGAAGTGGCAGGGGCCATCTTTGCCTTCCCATCATCCTGCAGTTTCAATGCATGGGCTGCTTTGCCCATCCAGCCACACTGGCTTGCCGGGGAAGAGAAGAACAGCCTGCTGTTGGCATCTCTCTAATGTTAAGTTTAACTGGCATATGTATAGGTTATGATGGTGGGCAAACAACCATTATTATTTTAATTTCTACTCCACCCAACAGTTATTTATGACAATACCTAAAACACAATAAAATATACAAAGGACAATACCGTAAGATTTTGCTGCAGAGGTTTTAAAATCCTAATTTTTGAATAGCTTAAATAAACTAAAAGGAGTTCACACAACAAGGCCAATTAAAAACAGCTCACATGGTCCTGCATGTGCTGTTTAGAACTGTTTAATGCTGCAACATGAGGGTCGTCCTTGGCACTGAAAGGAGAGCCGAGTTCTTGCCAACGAGGCGATGGGAGAAACCGTTCCATGACTGAGGGGCCTTCTGCCTTGTCCCAGCCAGCCAAACCTGTACAGTCGAACACCAGTCTCCCCTGACCTCCCCAATTAAAACAGGAGAGAAATGAGTCATTGGGTGAGATGCAGCTTTCTAGAAACGCTTGTAGCCGAACAAAGTCTTGCCCACTCAAGCCTAGGGCATCTTACCTGCATGACTTATGACCAGATCTGCTGATTGTACATCTTCCAAGAGGGAATTCTTGAACCGGAACACTTCCAGGGAAAATGTGTCTGTGCAGACTGAATCCGGACACACCGTGCCCCTCCCCACCTGAAGGACAAGGTGGTTGTAGCCCAGTTCCTGTAAAACCTGAAGCAGGAAAGGAACTTTGGTTCACGCTTGCTAACCTGCCAAGGGTTTGTCCTTCCAGGTGGAGAACGCCCAGCTAAAGGGCTGGTGGGGAGACAGAGATGCCACTTCATAAATTCTTCAGTTATCACAGCGTTTTTGTATTTGCTTGGGGAGGAAGAACGCTGATAGCTGATGGGTTACGGGGGACGAGAATCAGCATGGACCTTCAGGTACTCTGGTGAGCTCCAAACCTGCAGTTGTATCATGACCTGATCTCAGGTTGTCAGAAAACAGGAGAGCTTATGTTCTCTGGTGCCTGAAAATGCTTTAAGGAAGCACCAGCAAGATTTGTCAAAACATATGTGGCTCGCGAAGGACAAGCTGCCCCTGAAGCAGGAAGCTTCTTTCCAAAACAGGCTTATCCCAGAGAGGTCCGCCTGGCGCCGTCCTTGTTTGTTTTTTGGCGCGAGGCCAAGACCTTTTTATTTAAACGCTATTTTAACGGTTAATGGTTTATTTGTTGGTTTAAATTGACCAGGATGGATCCACTATTTTATTTATTTGATGAATTTTTTGTATTTTATTTGGGATTTTAGTAATTGTAAGCCACCCCGAGGCTCACGCGATGGGGCAGCATATAAGTTGTTTAAATAAATGAATAAATAAATATGAATGTATAACCCTCACACTGCAAGGCTAGAATGCCTCTGCACACGGACTTAATATTTATGGACTTCGAATATAGTGGGCTTGACTTCTCAGTATACAGAAAATCGCACGGGACAGCTGCACTTCCGTGCACACCTTCTCAGCGCTTCGTTCCAGGGAACACCCCAGCGTTTACCTGCGAGTAAAGGCAGCGTGTATTGCGCTGAGATACCTGTGCCCATCTGCCAGGGAGACAGACGCAGGGAAGGCTCCTGCTTCACCGAGGAGCCCCATGGCCCTGCGTGAGGTTTACTTGCGAGGAACGCAACCCGGCGGAGCCGGAAAGCCGCGGTGCTGCGCACGCCGAGGGCAGTGGGGCTCGCCGGTGAGCGGGCGCGCACCGGGCCCCCTGCCAGGGGCGCGATCCCCGTTGCTGGGCGGGCGAGAGGCGGCCCCGGGGCGCACGGCGTGGCCGCCGCTCCGTGCGCTTTACCCCCGAGGAAGCAGCGGGAGCGAAGCGCGCGGCCCCGCGGCAGCGGCTCCTTGGGGCGGCGCGGCACGGCACGCGGAGGGAGGGAGGGAGGGAGGAAGCGCCGGGTCGCCGATCGCACCTGCAGCGCGTCCGGGGCCGTCGCGGCGGCCACGAGCTCGTCGAAGCTGGTCGTGCCCACCGTGACCAGGGCGGTCCGCATGTCCGCAGGCGGCGCGACCATCGAGACGGCCGGAGCGAGCGGGCCGAGCGGGGCCGCTCTGTAGCGGGAAGTGTCGGTGGTGGCCCGTCACGTGCTGAGCCACGGACGTACGAACGAGAGAGTGACGCGCTCGCCCTCTGCATGGGAGCTCTCCGAATGCGCTTGAGGAGTTATTTTGCTCCCCCCGTCCCGCAATGTTCCTTCGCTTTATAAAAAAAACAACAACACCAACACAAACCAAATTGCACGCTGGGGATCTGAATGAGAACGAAAGAGAAAGTTTACGGTAGCTCTGCAAGCGTTGCCTGTGAAGGGAGTGCTTTATGACATTCCTGCAGCTCAGCCCATTAATGATATGTGCAGCTTCAGAAGCGGGGCTCAGCCAGGTGGGCTTGACACCCCTCCGATGCAACCCCATTTTCACACTGCAGCAAAGATCCGACTATTCAGAGAGTCCTCTGCCCCATCCAGAATCCATTCCACCGCGGCATGCAAAACCTCCAGTCCATCAATCCTCCCATCAAATTCACATGAAACGAAGCCCAGTTTCTGTGCTTGCCGCTTCATTTGGGGGTGGGGATGCTGTTACTGGCTGTTTTGTTTTTTGGAAGCCGTCCGGAGACTTCAGTATTGGACAGCATATAAAAACTTTAAATAAAAAATAAACACTATCCGGCCACAGCAGCAGTAACGAAGCTTTGCTTGCTGGCGACGAGCAGCGGCAAGCCAGCTCCGACAAGCAGGACCGGAGTGGAACAGCTCCCAGATCTGGCAGGTTCGCCCAGCAAGCGGTGCAATTCCCTTTACCCCCTTTTTCCACGTCTGGGGTAATTCTGCACGCTTCCACGCAGGGTTTAAGCAGTACATGGCATGGTCCGTATGTGGGGTGGATCCTGCAGTGAATAGGTAGTGAGCTGCATTTGAACCAAGGACTTGGGGCCACGTCTCTGTTTGAAACCATAAGGCTCACCTGAATGACTTGGAACCAATCATATCTCATCCTAACTTCCTCTAAGGCTATAGGGAGGCGAAGGAAGGATGGGATGCAAATACTTACGCGTTTTTATAAAATTGCGCGAATGTTGCAATCCCCTGGTTGGACACACGGGGGAGTAGTTGGCCACGAAAAAGACTTGCGCTTGTGACTCCTTGCCCACCGCAGGGCAGAGTGAAGAGGGTGGCTGAAACTCTGCAATGATATGAGCAGAACTAAGCCCCCATCTTGCAAAACAGCCAGTCTGGAGTAAAATGTTGGAACTAGAGAGCTGCAGCAGCAGCGAAAACCTCCAGCCATAGATGTATAGATTTGCAGGGTCCTGGTTGCCTGAAGGAGCGCTTACATCCATATATGCCCGGCCGCCCCTTGAGATCTGCGGCAGAGGCCCTTCTCCGGGAACCCTCCGTGAAAGAAATTAGGAGGGTAGGTACTCGGAGGAGGGCTTTCTCTGTGGTGGCGCCCAATCTATGGAATGCGCTCCTCAGAGAGGTTCGCCTGGCGCCGTTGTTATTTGTTTTTCGGCGCCAGGTGAAGACCTTTTTATTTAAGCGTCATTTTAATTGTTAACAGTATTTGCTTATTTATCTGGCCAGGGCGACTTCTTTTATATTGTTATTTATTTTATATTGTTATTTTTATATTGTTATTTTTTTATTTTATTTTATGTTGTGAGCCGCCCTGAGGCTTCAGCGAATGGGGCGGCATAGAAATGTTTTAATAAATAAATAAATAAATAAATTCAAAGCTTAAAAGCTGCAGACTTGAAATTAATCAACGGCAAAAGGAGGGCTTTCTTTCCACGTGCAACAGAGAATTGCAGCCTGCCCTCTGCTTCCCTTGAAGTTTAAAGTTGGGGGGGGGTTACCCTTGCGAACTGGGCACCATCTTGGCGCAGAAGGCATGCCAAGGAGTGAGGGCGCTGTTGAAGAATAAAAGAAGTGGCTATGGGATTCCTAATGGCCTCGCCACTTACATATCACTAAGCGGGAAAAGGCCTCACCCCACCCCTGAAGAGCAGCACAAGACAGACCTCATCATTCGCATAAATCGCATTTGCAGCTATCCGGATGCAGACGCAAATTGTGAACTACTGGTGCGAACGTAAGAGAGGCAATACAGGGAAGGAGTTGGCTTCCCTGCTGCTCCGGCCGTGGATCATGGGTAGACAGGTTCAAGATCTGTTCTGTCCTGTTTTCCTCCCTTTCTGGTGAGCAATCCCATGCAAGCTGAGGCAGTCAAAATTCCTACAGCTCCCAGCATCCCACAGCTGGCGATGCTGAAAGCTGAGGACGGGCTCCTGTAAAGTCAGACACACGGCCACCCCAAAGCCTGAAGGGCTCTGGAGCCTTTGTTAAGCAGGACGCTTGAAAAGGACACCCCATCAATCTTGTGTCTCCGCGGGAGCGTGGGTGGGCAGAAAGTACACATTTAGGGAGCTCGCCTGTCATTTAAATAGAAATCCACACATGTCTCATCATAGTGTGGAAGATGGGACCAGGTACCCCCTGCTTGTCTTGTGTTGGCTTGCAGGGATTTTGGTGAGGACAGAACGGAGGAGAAGAGGAAGCACTGCTGAGCACCATCCCTGTGCCTGCGGAGAAATAAAATGATCCGAAATCCATTTCTGCCATAAGCAGAATGCGCACCCCTCTTCCTCCTTATGGTTTTCAGTCTTCAAACCAGCCTTCGACAGGAGGGCCCTTCACAGAGAGGACCGTCCTCTGTAAAGTAGGACACATGTGCTCCATTGCTTTTGCTAGGGGTTTCAGGAAACTCCTAGAGAGGCTGGTTAAAACTGACAGAGGGACTGTCTGGAAGCGTCTCTCGTTCTAAAGATAGCCCTCGAAGTTGATGAGAAGCTCACCGTGAATGAACTTTGAGAGGCCGCAGAGATGCAGCCGTGCCAGGACGAATCAAGCACGGCTGACGTTTCCTGACATCCACCCCCAGGGGGACAGTCAAGGGGATCCTGTGTCTGGCAGTCTGGCAGAACTTCCCACTCGGCGGAAAGACCAGAGGGTGGAAATTGGCTTCCAGTTAAAGCGGAAGGGAACGACTTCTGCTCTGCTTCGAAGCCATGACTAGAAACTTCTCGCAATTAAATTGACCAACAGCCATGGAGAGCATTTACCGTTGCATGCGATGCTTCAAATGTGAGGCTGGGCCTGGAAAGAGCTAGTTTCTAATCCCTGCCCAGCTGAGAAGTTTACTGGGTGACCTCTGGCCTGCCGTCGTCCCCACCTTGCAGGGCTGTGGTGAGGAGAAAAGCCTTCTGGCTATGGGGTGGCATACAAATGCAATAAGTAAATAAAATGGAGGCAGGGGAAGACATTATTTTAATTATAAAGGTATATGGAACTATAATTAAAGTAATTTTTTATTTCCTTCCTATATTGCTCAATATCCAAGGCTCTCTGGGTTGTTTACAAGAGTATATTATAATTACATTGCATTGATATCTTTTTCTTCTTTTTTTCTTTCACAGTTCTCCACTGCATTTTATCCTCCCTCACAACAACCCTGCAAGGTAGATTAAGTGAGAGTGAGGGGCTGGCCCAAAGTCACCCAGTGAGCTTCAGGGCTGAGCAGGGACTAGAACCTGCTTCGACCAGGTTCCCCTTCTGATGCTTTAACCACCACATCGCACTAGTAACGCACATCACCATGAGCTTCTTGGAGAAGAGGTGGGGTGGAACCAAAAGCACTGAAAGATCATATCTGCAGTAAATATAAAATATCCTTACAATGCAAACACAATATAGGATGCAACATTTGCAAACATTACTTCAAAGGCTGTGCAACAACCCCCAGGGTCGGCCAAGGTACCTTATTTTAAATTTGGGGATACTCGGGATGAAGCAAAACCACTTCTGGCCAGGATGATATTCAATGTATTAAATATAGTGATGAAATGTGGATGTTGAATATATGCAAGCAATGGAAAGCTTACATTCCTCTGATCAGTACCTGTATGGGTTCCCTGAATAGGTCAGAGGACTCTCCCTGGTCCTCCAGAATTGTCTGGGTGAATGATACATCCATTCTTCTCCCCCAGAGCCAAGAACAAAAGAAAACACCCCTGGAATGGATTCCTTAAAGCCCTGCTCTCCTGTTTCAGAGACTTTCTAACCACCTTGTGTTGGAGACAGGGGAGGGACGAGGCTGCTTTAATAAACAGTTTTGGCTCTTGCTGCAAAAGCAGCTCTTTTCTCTGCAGCTTCTTCTAACCAGTTGAAAACCATAAAGCCGAACAAAACAAAAACTGTTCCAGCCACTGGGAAATTTCGTTACACCACCTGTTGAATCTTATTAACCCCTCTGATAAGCTTCATCACTGTTCGCCAGTGTGGGAAAAGTTCTGCAAAGTACTGTAAAAGAAGAAAATAATACTGACACAGAAAGTATGTAACTGTATCCATCCATTAGAGGGCAGAATTGAAAAGGAGAATAAAAATCCCAAGACTGGTGTTCAGAGAGCATCACAAAACATATGCAGTGGTTTCCGTTCATTAGACCAGCCTTGCCCAACCAGATGTTTTCCAGATGTGTTAGACATCGGCTCTCACCATTCCTGCAATTGGTCATACTGACTAGAGCGGATGGGAGTTGAAATCCAAAACATCTGGAGGGCATCGCGTTGGGGAAGGTTGGCCTAGTTGTTAAAGAAAAAGTGGGGCGGGGGGAAGATGCAGGATGAGTGAGGAATTGTTTTGATAGTAAAGCTGGATAGTAATGCAGATGGTAACAATTTTAGGGTGTAAACCTCTGCATTGGAGAAGGCCTCCATCCTGGAGAGTGATTGGGGCATTCTGGGAGTTGAAGGCCTTTCTTCTGTCGAAGGGTTGCCCCTTTAACAGCAAAGTGAACTTCCAGATCGAAGCTGGTTTGTATCTCCAACAGAACGTGGTGATGAAGGACTGTGGTGGCGGAAGGAGCTGAAACACGCTGCTGCTGACCCCAGTGTTGCCCTTGTCCCTGATACGACTTGCAAAGAGCAAAGTGTCTTTCTGAGATGTCAGTTTTGCATTTCCAGGATGGCCTTATTTGTA